ACTATCGCATATCTATCGAGGTTTCCTGAACGTTCTAGAAGCGCATGATGTGTTACTAGGGTCACGTGACCTCCGCTGTAGTAACAATATAAATGAAACATAAAAACAAAATAAAAAAAATATTTCTTACTTTTTATTTACGATTTTGCTATTTTCCACTTGGTTTTCGAATACAGAGCAAACTAGTAATAGTTAAAAGCATGTTTTAAATTTAGAGCGATTTATGTATTTATTTAAGGGTTAAAACCACATTAACTCACCAAGGCAACATGTACGATAAGCTGCTGCACATAACCATAATGCGCATGCGAGTGACATACCAATGGTTTGAAAGGAAAGTTGTCTGCTTTTATCAGTGCTACAGAATGAGTTGTAATTCGAGTGTTTAAAAGATATACAACCGGGTTATTTTCACCTCAGTAACGTTTTGGGTCATCTCACGAAAACAACAGTTTTATTTTCAATAAACTGTGAAAATTAAATATTGTTATGAAGGTGAGTAAACAATGAAAATAAACTAAATTTTCTGGCTATTGGTACGTTAGGCTTAGAATAGAAGTTAGAGTGAGTCTTACTCTTACCCATTCCATTAGTAACTTAACAATAACATACCTGTAGCAGGGTTATAATTTCCAAGCATAAATTAAAGTTCAAGCTAAAAATGTGAATGAGACAATAAATTTGCCGTGTTATTTCAGCAAGATAGCTTTCAATTTATAGTTGCCAAAGCCAAAATCTTAATCATACTGTTCATAGTTCACGGGGGCTATGTTGCTGAGGGTATATTTTTAATATAATTTCTAATACGAGTACTAGTAGTAGTATTTAATATTATGATTAATGAAGTCAATATGTTTTGGTAGCCTAGGTTTTTGAAATCAGGTGGTTAAAGTCGTCTATATCATTACATGATTAATACTATAGAACTTACAAGCCAAACGTTTTGATGTATCTTTTATGTACTATCGTTAATTAATACGCAACTCATAAATGTAATTATTCTTAATATATCCTTTTATTAAGCCTATCCATACTTTAAATTAAAGTTACTGTTAAACTTTATTCTTTAGAAATTAAGATTTGCAGTTAAACTCTGTTCATTACACATCTTGGAACTTATTTTTAGTTTGAAAGTTTTCAAAACCACTAAACTAAATTGTTGGTATGTTTGTTTTATTTGATTAATGTTACAAGTGGGACCTTTACTCTTTTTGATTTACATCAATGACATAGATGAAGGAATGATCAATAAATTACTTAAATTTGCAGATGATATTAAGGTCTTGGATGTTGTTACCTGTGAAGAGGATGCTGCTGATTTACAAAAGGATTTAGATTATTTAGTGGGTTGAGCAACTAAATGGCAAGTGGGTTTTAATTATAATAAATTCAAGATAATACATGTGGGTTATCATAATTAACAGTGTCATGAAATGAAGGGATCTTGGTGTAATGGTTGATCAGTCTCTAAAGCCATCCAAGCAGTGTGCTGTTGCTAGTGGTAGGGTAAATAGAATTTTAAGTTGTATCTACAGATATATTGAATACAAGTCTAAAGATGTTATACTTTCATAGTACATGTCACTGGTTAGACCACATTTGAAATATTGTGTTCAGTTTTGGGCTCCTTACCTTAGGAAGGACATTGAATTGTTGGAAAGGGTTCAGAGAAGGATTACTATAATGGTGCCTGAGATGGAGGGGTTGAAATCTTTCAGATTGTTTTCTCTTAAAAAAAGAAGAGTTAGAGGAGATCTGATTGAGGTCTTTAAGATTTTAAAGGAAATTGATAGTGTTGATACATCATCATTTTCATATTTAACAATGAGAATAGTAGGACTAGAAGACACAATTATATATTTTGGCAGGGTAGGAGTCATCTTTAGCCAAGACAGTTTTATTTTTCTAACAGGTTGGTTGGTTTTTGGAATGGGCTGTCTTTGGATGTTTTAGAGGCAGTAAATTTAAGTGAGTTTAAGAGAAAGCTTGATAAGTATGTGAATGATAAGGGCTGGCTTTAAGATTTAGTTTATTTTAAAGGATGGGACAGCAGAGATGGACCAGTAGGTTCATCTTGTCCTAAAACATTATGTTATGTTTCTTTCTTTATTATTTTTTAACAGTAAACTGTATGGCATATCAAAATATCTTTCATGCATTTAAATTATTTATATTTTGTGTTTCTTTTTGAAGTTTTTATTTGTATAACATTTCAGTAATGCCTGAATCATTATCCACCATACAACCAAAAAAAGATATGTTTATTCGAAAATCCCATAACTTGCATTGCATTTTGAGATTAATCTTAGTCAAACAAAACAATTAAGTTCAAATACTGCTAAACACAAACTTAAAATTCATTTTGTTTCATTTTGTTCTTGCGTGACACTTTTGATTTAAGATTTATTTTCATGAATGATGATTTGTTTGAAGTAGTTTAACGTACTGTAAAATCTAATGTACAAGAATAAAACTGTATTTGATGTTTGAGCTTTGTATGTAACGTATCGTTTAACTGAATCAGCACAGTGCTACGAACCAACCACGTATTGGAGAGAAAGAATGTTAATTCTAATTCCAAATTTACTATATGTATCTACATAAAATGCAGCAAGCTTTAGTGAAATATATAAGTTTGTTGTACATATTCTGATTCTGACAAGTCAGACTGCAAGATGGTCATGGTGCGAAGAATAAAAATATTATTTCCATTGTAGAGTTTGCATGTTACATAACCTCTAGAACCACCAAAATGCATATCTACAGTTTTTTTCTGTGTCCCTATATCTATTATATTTGTTTTTTATTCTCCTCTACCACAAACTGTTGTTAAATCAGCAATATAGGGTAAAATGAATGGTTGATAACCCTGACATTAAATACATAATACCATGTTGAATGACACTCTCTAGAAAGTTATTGGCCTTTTCACTCTGACCCTTTCCCTTGGATTAATGTTATTACTATACATTTCTTGATTTTCATCAATACAACAATCTGTGTATAGGTTTAAGATATATATATATATATATATAACTGTACTAATTACTTTTTTGTACATGGTGTTTCATTTGCTGATGCTCTTAATAAATGAATATCTGAAATTATTGGAATAGTTATTCTTGACTTGTTTGTTGCTAAACATTATCTGATTATTTTCATGTTTTACTACTGTTATTACATTTATAATTATTGGAACAGTTATACTAGACTTGTTCATTAGTAAACATCTGATTATTTTCATGTTTTACTACTGTTATTACATGTATAATTATTGGAACAGTTATACTAGACTTGTTCATTACTAAACATTATCTGATTATTTTCATGTTTTACTACTGTTATTACATGTATGATTATTGGAACAGTTATACTAGACTTGTTCATTAGTAAATATTATCTGATTATTTTCATGTTTTACTACTGTTATTACATGTATAATTATTGGAACAGTTATACTAGACTTGTTTATTACTAAACATTATCTGATTATTTTCATGTTTTACTACTGTTATTACATGTATAATTATTGGAACAGTTACACTAGACTTGGTCATTAGTAAACATTATCTGATTATTTTCATGTTTTACTACTGTTATTACATGTATAATTATTGGAACAGTTATACTAGACTTCTTCATTACTAAACATTATCTGATTATTTTCATGTTTTACTACTGTTATTACATGTATAATTATTGGAACAGTTGTACTATACTTGTTCATTAGTAAACATTATCTGATTATTTTCATGTTTTACTACTGTTATTACATGTATAATTATAGGAACAGTTATACTATACAATGTTTACTAATGAACAAAATAACAGTAGTAAAACATGAAAATAATCAGATACATGTATAATTATTGAAACAGTTATACTTGACTTGTTCATTAGTAAATATTATCTGATTATTTTCATGTTTTACTACTGTTATTACATGTATAATTATTGGAACAGTTGTACTATATTTGTTCATTACTAAACATTATCTGATTATTTTCATGTTTTACTACTGTTATTACATGTATAATTATAGGAACAGTTATACTATACTTGTTCATTACTAAGTATACCATGAGATATTTGATTCATGATAAGTTAAATACATTTTCTAACATATTTTTCTTTGTGTTAGCGGGTGTTTACCGTACCAGAAAGAACACATGGCCCAGGACCAGTGTATTTCACATGGCAGAAATCTGGAGGAAATTTTCTAGTGACTACTGGGTAAGTCCGGAGATGGTTTAGTGTAGGATTATACCACTAGGTGCATGCAGTAGAATTATTTTATTAAAAATGTTCCTATATGCATATATAACTTTTCATATACAGGGTGGTCCAAAATTATCTTTCGTATTTTAAAATTTAATAATTAACTAACTAATACATCCATGCAGTTTTCAACATCTTATAGCCAAACTCAGTTTTTATTGACATGTCAGTAGACTTCCACGTGTGCACCATGAGTGGCTTTCAGCACGTCTAACTGCTATTCAATTTCAGTCCATGTTCGCTGCAATGTATGCACAGTTACGGTGGCGATGGCATCCATTATCCTGGTCTTTAGCTCCGTGATGTTTGCTGTTGGTGTGCAATACATGATATCCTTAACATACCCCCATACTTCTTTCTTGTACTGGTGTCTGTAATTATACTGCACAACAATCTCTGAGAGCCAAATGATGCATTGAGCCTTTTCTTGCATAGTTTCCACTATATGGGGTAACACTACTCACTGGAGTGAGAAAAAAAACATGGCATTAAAAACTATTTCAGTTGGCTACAAGATGTTGAAAACTGCATGGTTGTATTTCCTTAGTTATTTAATTATTGAAGTATAAAATAGGAAGGATAATTTTGGACAACCCTGTATATTTAACAGTGATGTCTGTTTTTGATTTTAGCAAGTTTCACTTTTCTATTCTAGTATTTTCATGTAACGATATTTATAGGTGTGCTTCATAATAAATCATTGATGGATGACTTAATCTTTTTAAATACAGCAACTACAATAAAAGCTGCTTCACAAAAATAATCACTGGTGAACTTTCATCAGATGATTTTCTTATCTTGATAATGGTAAAAAATATTTACAAGGTTTAATTTTTCCATTTTCTATAAGTTATAAACAAGTTAAATAATATTTCCATCCAGGATTTTTCCCGTATCACCACCCACCTACCTAGCAGAACATAATTTTTAACAATTACTTATTCAACCCTAATAAAAAGTATAATGGCTCATATCGAAATACTGATATAAACATGAAAGATAATAGGTTTAATCTTTAGAAAAAAAAATGTGAAAGATGCTGATTTTGACATAAGTTACGACCATTCACAGACTCGATTTTACATGTGACATGTGTTATTGAAAGTCTAGTTAAGAGTTTGAAGTATTTATGAATTACCAAACCTGAACTGTGTTTTTCAAGAAGCATGTCACTTGCCAACTCTTTGATTTTCAGGTGCTTCTGAAGTAAAAAAACATTTTTTTTCTATTTTAATGCTAAAGTAATTATTCAAATCACTAACAGAAATAATTAATATACCACAACAGAAAGAGACTGTTTGACATGTTCTCCCGATTGGTAAAACTCCTATTTATAAACCTCTCTCTCTCTGTATTCTTCTACCAAGTCTATATTTTCATTACTTTATAACTCTCCATGGCTGGAGATGTAGCTACACGTATAACAGTAACATCATCATTAGACAAATCATTTTATAAGTTTGTAGCTCTAACCTAAAAAACTTTGTCTGATAAAGGACGTGGGTTATCAAAGTTTTAAACCTGTTACACTTAATATTCAAGTTAGTGTTTCCACTCCACCTCTCAGACAAACAATCCATAGGAAGATTGTAAAAAAATTACTAACAATTTTCAACATTTTCCTCTCCACATTTATACATTTAGAGAAAACATGTCCAAAGCTGAAAGTTTCTCCTCACAACTTGAATTATAGTGAAAGTTGGAACTAAAACTAGGTTTAGAAACTCATTAGATTCAAGTTATGATGCAGAAGTATTTAATAATTTTATAAAATTAATTTTTTTTACTTAAATTTCCAAAGAAGGTAGATTTAAAAGTTAAAGAATAAGATTTCAATAGGTTAAAAACAAAAGCTTTTATACTCACTTTGTTAAAAGTTAAGTACAATTAAACTGAAATTATATTCTAGGTATGATCATACCGTGAATATTCATGATCGTCATGGAGATAGCAGGGATCACATCACATTGGCAGGGTGAGAACGTATTTAATCCTACAGTACATATTAAAAAGATCTGTGAAGTTTAGTGCTGTAAAGATATTGTATATAGTTATTGAATTAAATCTATGTTTTAAAGTTTTTAGTTCTAAATATACTTTGTATTTTAAGACTGACTTCATTCATATATGATCTGTTTCTAAAATCCAACTACATAAAAGTAAGATAAAAATAGCCACCAGTATAATTAAAAATATCCATCATTAATACCTGTAGATCATTATATTAAAAATAGCCATCAGTAATTCCTGTAGATCATTATATTAAAAATAGCTATCAGTAGTACCTGTAGATCATTATATTAAAAATAGCCATCAGTAATTCCTCTAGATCATTATATTAAAAATAGCCATCAATAATACCTGTAGATCATTATATTAAAAATAGCCATCAGTAATACCTGTAGATCATTATATTAAAAATAGCCATCAATAATACCTCTAGATCATTATATTAAAAATAGCCATCAGTAATACCTCTAGATCATTATATTAAAAATAGCCATCAGTAATACCTCTAGATCATTATATTAAAAATAGCTATCAGTAATACCTGTAGATCATTATATTAAAAATAGCCATCAGTAATACCTGTAGATCATTATATTAAAAATAGCCATCAGTAGTACCTGTAGATCATTATATTAAAAATAGCCATCACTAATACCTATAGATCATTATATTAAAATAGTCATCAATAATACCTCTATATCATTATATTAAATATAGCCATCAGTAATACCTGTAGATCATTATATTAAAAATAGCCATCACTAATACCTCTAGATCATTATATTAAAAATAGC